GGTCTAACAGACTGAACTTTGACATTCATAGCCATTCTGCATGTGCCTAGAGATAAAAGGTCAAGTCTTTGAGCCTCCAGAAAATGTAGTAAGAACAGGGCTTGTGGACATCATTTGGCCCACCAGCAGCAGGGTAACTGAATAGTTAACACTTGACTTCAGTTTCTGGAAGGTTTTTTGATACTTTGTAAGGCACTGCAAATTTACTAAACAGTGGGCGATAGCGTAGGTAAAGAAGTAACTATACATAAGTAACTCACTGTGATGTGTTATAGAGTAAAATTATGTATAATGGCTTATGTATACATAGTGAATGGAACAATAAACTGTGTTTTGTGGTTCAGATCAGTCTTCTGTAGATAGCCAACACTGAAACTGGGTTCATATATATGCATGGGCATACAGAACATTGTGCTCAGGACTTAGGAAAGTAACTCCCACAGAGGATGTTTTGATTGCAAATTATGGCAAACCCAACTTAAATGGACAAAAAAAATGCTGAGGAGTTTTTCTTCACATGACAGGAAAGCCCAGATGTTGGCCAGGCTGCACACTGGTTCAGCTGTGACACCGGCCCCTTTCCTTTGTGGTTCTCTTGAATACTCTACTGTATTTTTTCTTTTTTCTTTTGTCCCTACTTTAGGGGAGAGCAATGGTAACTAGGGCTATTTTATATTCCATCAGGTAAAAGCTAATTGCTCCTTGCACTGTAGTACAACAATGAATTTAAATGCTTCAAGGTAATTAAAATTTAGAGTAACTTCTGTACCACCACTGGCTATATACTTCGAAGACACTAAGTCAACATATCACAGAGATACTTGGCATTCTTATTTATGAAACACTATTCACAACAGCCAAGTTACAGGATCAGCCTCAGGGTCTGTTGACAGATGAATGGATAAAGAGAATATGGTACATATGGATGATAGAGCTTTATTCAGTCATGAAAAATAAAAATGTTTTGTTTGCTGGAAATGGACTATATTTATGATCATCGTAGTAAGTGAAATGAGCCAGACAAATATTGCGTATTTTCTCCCATTCATAGATCCTCTAGTTTCTGTAGCTACACAAGACCATATCTATAACATAAAAGCATAAGGGAGACTGCTGGCAGGAGGAAGATGAGAGGGGGAGCAAGAGACAGAGTGCAGGAGGGAGGACAGAAGAGAGAGTATGGGAAATGGCTATAATCAGAGTACTTTATACACGTGAAAGAAATTGTCCTTACTAAACCCATCATATACCATGTACAACAAATATATGCTAATAAAACAAGGAATTAAGGTAAGATTATATAAGGCATGGAGATCCCCCAAATTTATTCAAAGTAGTTGAATAGTTGAAGTAGTTTAAAGGGTATCTGAATTTTTGCTTATATTTAGTATTTATCGTTAGGAATTACCTCTTTCCTTATACCTCTTATAGTATCTGTGTTGATCTAGAAATAAGACACTTCTGGACTCCTAGAATAGTACAAACATTTCTATATCCCAAAGGACATTCTATCCTCTGAAGACATTCTTCTGAGCCTACAACTTCAATAGGCCTAGAGCTAGTTATGCGGAACAGGTTAAACACTATCTGCAGTTTCCCACAAGTGGGCTCTCACTGTGGTGTCACTTGCCTGGGTACTCTGGGAAAAGATTTCATCTTTTGGAGCCTTAGTTTCTTTATTTAAGAAATAGAAGTCTTTGCCATGGAGGAGATGGGAATAAGGGGTGGGCTCGGGGGAAGGCGGGGGGGGGGGG